TCCTTCCTTCCTTCCTTCCTTCCTTCCATCCATCCATCCATCCATCCATCCATCCATCCATCCATCCATCCATCCATCCATCCAGTATTTACATTGAAACACAGAAAACAGACCACACAGGCTCATGACGATCCTTGCTTATAACCAGAAATAAACAAATTGGCTAAAATGACCTGATATTCTAGTCATAGAGAGGAGGGAGATATAACTTGCATGGAGCAAGTCATCTGCAATTTGTGCAACACTCAGTGAATAACAAAATGGTTGCCTAGTTAGACATAAGGAAATCTGACCAGAAACAGTCTATTGCATGAATTGGAAACCTACCACATAGCAAGAAAATAAACAGAACGGCCGCTTAGGTTTTACTCGAATGGCAATGTCTCCCTCTTGCCCACGAGGCAAGATGTTGCCGTTTTCATCTATAATCTAGAAAAATGCAAATGCTATTGTGAATAATCAGAGAAACATAAAGAATAACATATATTTCATTCACCTCAATTTAGACTCAACCACGATTTTTAAAAAATTAATACTACCCAATATTAAATAAGACATGACAGAAAAAAGCAAAGAAACATAAAAATAACAAATCAATAAAGAGAAGAAAAAAAAGAAAAAATACATTTGAGTTAACATAACATCAAGAAATACAAGAAATTAGTGAACTACCCACCAAGACCAGAAGAGTTATATTTCCTTCACAGTCCAATGTTTATGATCCCTCCCCCCCCATACCACTTCCAAAAAGTAATTAGCTCTTGTTGGCATAATGTCTTCTCTTTTCAGTAAGGACATTTTACACGATCCATAATGCTGACCCCTCCCCCCCCATACCACTTCCAAAAAGTAATTAGCTCTTGTTGCCATAATGTCTTCCCTTTTCAGTAAGGACATTTTACACGATCCATAACCTTAGATCAGTGTTTCCCAGTTTCGGGGTCATGACCTCCAAAGAGTTTTCTGAGGGGTCGTGGGTTGCCTTATACGTATTGTAACCCTTGGGGAATAATTTCTTCCTTGACCTTTTGGAGTGGGATGTTAAAGTTAGTGCGTATGTATAGTATATGTATGAGAAGCAGGCCCTTTGGGGAAGAATAAATATGGCTCCCAATACTGAAAAATACAGCCTGCAAAAGGTCAACGAACTCTATCCGGCCCCAAGGACCAGGGCTCATTGCACAAAAAATATCAGCTAACGACACCCATCAATCACAGTGACAGATAATCTCCCCCCCTCATCACAACAAAAACACACTGATCACCATAATCTTCCATCTCCTGAAAAGGACAAAAGCTGTTCCCACAGCTATAAATACTCAACTCCCAAACAAACTGCACCAGAGCACAGAGTGCTACTCCTGTCCTCTGAAGATGCCCATGGCCACAGAGACTGGCGAAACGTTAGGAAGAACAACCTTCAGAACACGGCCAAAGAGCCCGAAAAACCCACAACAACCATTAGATCCCGGCCGTGAAAGCCTTCGAGAATACATTGAATCCTCTCCTTTCTGAGAAAGGATCACTTTTACCCTGCCAAAAATGCCTTTTTACGCAAACGCGGCAGGGGGTGGTGTCACAGGTTACTCACTATTTATAAAAGGGGGAGGTAACTTGAAAAAGGTTGGGAGCCACTGCTTTCGATGGATCCTCTGTTGTTAATGTATCATCAGCAAAAATATTGGACTCTTGATCTTCTCTTTTTGGCCAACAACCTGTATTAAGTTATTTTCTCCAATAGCATTCTCCAGCCACTGTATAACTAAATCAAATAATATTGAGGAAAGGGGTACATCCTTGTCTTGTATCTTGGCCTAAGAAAATCTGTTCTGTCCCAGGGTTTCCAGCCTTGGGCAATCCAGGTGCTCTTGGGCTGCAAATCCCAGAAGCCTTCACTGCCAGCTGTGCTGGCTGAGGTTTCTGGGAACCAGCTTCTTACACCATCATTCACTAATACTGTAGCACAGTTTTCAGAATATAATTGATGGACTATGCATCTGAATTGTATGCCAACTCACGCTTTTCTATCAGCATTTTAAATACTGGCCATTCCATTGAATCGACCACAAAATTTTAAAGCCATAGCCTCCAGACAAGAGCAAGACAAGGAAGACTATTTTTTCTCTCTTATCATGTTTTTTTTGTTGTTATTTGCTTCTGTGCAAAACTAGCAACCTTTCCATTTGAGGAGCAAAGCCGAGCCAAGCATGCTTGTTGTCTCACTCTGATCCAGAGCATCCCATAATTCTGTCTCCCAGGGCGAGAAAAAGGCTATTCTAGTTCCTCTTCTTTGCATTAACGAGAGGCCATAACGAGAAAGAATCTCCCTAGTCATGGAGGAGGTAAAAGGGGGGGAAAAAACAACCTTCCAGAATCCCCTCTAATTTATAGATGCTATTAGTTTTCATATGAATTTTCGTTTCCATGTCTGACTTCCCGTAGACTGCACAGGATGAGGGAACTTCTGCTACCTGAACATCGTAAGGTGGAGGTGGTCTGCCCATCGAGCCAGGTTTAATTTTCTTCCCTTTTTCATTTTGTGATATTATACCCTGTGGGGAGCAAAATTTTGAACAGTGTGTCATGCATCACAAATTACAGTTTTTACTTGGTGCTTGGAAGCCTTCCTCCCTGAGGTACAAGTGGTCAGGACTGTCAAAACGTCTTTGTTATAGCTCAATTCTCTCTCTCCCCCCAAAAAACCTGTAACTTTACTGAACTTCACTACTTCATCAGTAATATAACGTTAACATTTCCACAAAATACGTTTGTTTTTAGAGAAGAATGATCAGTAAATGGAAATATTTTATTCTTTCTAACTTATCAGAGTCTCTGAATGAATATATTGAAACCAGTAAGTGCCAGTTGAGGTAAACTAACAAACAAGAGGTGGTCTACTAAAGAAAACCATCCTTCAGTTTGATCTGTAGGTTCTTGCTGGAACCTTTTTTGTTGGCTCACTGTCCCCACACCAAACTCTGCCGAACCAATGCCACCAGTTCCTACACTGGAACTGTAAAACAACGACAGCACCTACTACTTCCGTCTGTCCGTAGGCTTCATGGATATCCAACCCTGTCTGCTTTTTCCACTGCGCCATCACCTCCGGGTTGAGTGGCTCCCCGCCAGTCAGACAGTGCCTCAGGCTCTTGAACCTATAGCTTTGCAAAAGGACGAGATGCCATTAGTCTCCGGATCTGGTTGGCAATTAAAAAAAAAGTTCCCCAAACTTCTGGATTTGGGGAAAGGCCTCTTTTGAGGGTGAGGAGCCTGGGTGGAGCTGTAGAGAGGGAGGGGGGCTCTTAGAAACGAGGATTTTGAAGGAGAGGGGTTGTTTCTTCCACACCAGCTGAGATTTGAGTCTGGGAGAAGAGCGAGGCTTTGCCGAGAGCTTCACGGCTCCGGACTGCATTTGGGGGCTTTGGGGATGAATGTATCTCTACTGCTTTTTCCTCCCTCATGCGATCTGTAAGGAGAGAATTCAACTCCTGGCGTTAGAATTCCTCATATTAAGAGCTGTAACTGAAGTGGACCTTTGACCCGGGGGCCAAATTTAAGAGGACACAGAAAGGTGCTCCTAGAAAGGGGTGAAAGCCAGGTCACCTCCAGCCGCTCCTCCTGGGATAAAAGGGACCACAGAACGGGTGGGCTCCATGCCAAGCGAGAGGGGGCCTTCTCTGGGGCAGCTCCCGGGTTAGGGGACGTTCTCCCTTTGACCCTCCTGTCGTCAGCTGAAGACTCACCTTTTCAGGCAGGCTTTTGACAAGAACGACGGAGTCCCTGAATGCCCTTTTTAAAGCAAAGATTGCTTTTAACCATTTAAAAATGTTTCTAATCATTTACTGTATTTTAATAGTTCGATTGGTTTTTAATGTATAACTTTTGGTGCTGTTAATTCTATTCTTTTAAATACTGTGAGCCACCTTGTGACCCCTTATCAGGAGAAAGGCAGGCTAGGCATGAACAAACGAACAAATGAACAAACGAACAAACTGATATGGCCCTTGTGTGCTCAGGCCGAAGTCCCCTCCTTGCGAGCAAACGAACAAACTGATATGGCCTTTGTGTGCTCAGGCCGAAGTCCCCTCCTTGCCTCTTGCCCTCCTGGCATGACCTCCTATAAGGCCCGGGTGCCCAAAATCGCTGTTACAGCTCTGCTCCTGTGAATAAATCAGGGTCGTGTGTGAGTTGGCCTCTCATCACCATAGGCGACCTGAACGTACACATAGGCGAGTACGTTGCTCTTGTGAAGGTGGAGTAGAGCCCTCACTTCTTATAACAGAACCAGCAAAGGACCCCTCCTCATGTATCAGTATAGAAATATGGCAAGCCATTGCAAGAAAGACACAGCGGTCTATCTCTCCCCTAAGCAAGCTACAGAATATTTCCCTGGGCTAGCAACCTTGGTGGGATTATTATTATTATTTTTTGCTAAGACTTGATTCAATGACAGCAGATACCGGGTGAGATCCTGTTGCACAAGCATTCGGTAGACTGTTGGCGCTGTGCACATCTTAGTTATTGGATAGGTGGAGAGAACCTGAGGAGACAGGAAGAAGAAGAAAAGTTCAAATGCACTCACAAAATGCTTTAACTGCTGGGTATTTATTATTATTATTAATAGGTCATTTTCCATAATTATCTGCCAGTGGATAACTCAGTTTAGGTATCTGACTACAGAGTCAGAGGCTGAGAGTTTGATTCCCCCCCCCTCCCGGGGCCTCCTGGGAGAAAAGCCAGCCTGTGAGGCCTTGGGCAGGCTGCACCGTGCCAGGGCGCCCTCTAGTGGAAGGGAAGGGTCAACCACCTCTGAATACTCTCTACCTGGAAAACCCTGAAAAGGGTAACTCAGAATTGACTTGACAGCACATCATCCTCATCTTAGAGCTGCAAAGCTAGATCATCATTTCCTGCCCCTGTTAAGGAGGCACCGTGGGGGAATCGAACTCCTAACCTCTGGCTTTGAAGCCGAAGAATTTACCACTGAGCTATCCAGCAGGGTTTTTAAAACTTTTTTTTATTAGGATATAGAAAGAAAAATATCATATTTTTTGTTCCATAAGACACGTCTGAGGATAAGACGCAGCTAATTATGGAGTGAAAAATGTGGTACATTGAAGGCAAAAAGGCAGGGGGAAAGGGCGGGAAATTCGAATTTCCCACCCTTTCCCCCTGCCTTTTTGCCTTCAGAGCTCTCAAAGGGCTCCCTCCGATGTTGGGGGAAAGCCCTTGCAAAAGTGCATTCGCTCCATAAGATGCACACACTTTTCGACTGTGATCTGACCCCAAGGAGGTCTCCAAGGGCTTCCCCCCAACATCGGAAGGAGCCCTTGCAGAAGTGCATTCGCTCCATAAGATGCACACACTTTTCACCCCACTTTTTTGAGGGGGAAGTGTGTCTTATGGAGTGAAAAATACAGTAATGAAAACAGAAGTGAATTCTTGCATATCAAGGACACCTGACATTTGTATACATGACTTATACTCTACATTTTATACTAAACATAGTATTCTATGCTTTAAATTTACTTAACCTTTTGAAATATATGCTCTGCTCATCCTAAATTCTATCTTACTCTTCCAACATCTGCTTTCCTTTTCACAAGTATTTTTACAGCATTATTTCTGCACCCTTTTTATTTGTTTAAATAATCAAAATAATTTTCCCATTTCCCTTTGTCAATTCTTTGACAAGGTCTTCTGTTAATACAGTTTGTAAGTTTCGCAATCGTAGCAGATTCAAAATTTTTTCTCTCTCCAATCCTCTGCTACTGGGCATCTCTCTGTTTTCTGATTCTTAGCCATTATTGCCCGGCTGCTGTTAACATATAATTAAACAGTTATTGTGTGGACTTTTCCAGATTTTTCTGATGGTATTGCCAGGAGCATTGCCTCTGGTTTCATCTCAAATTCAGCTTATAGGATTTTCCTCATTTCAACATGAATGCATTCCCAGGATTTCTTGGCTTTTTACAAGTCCACCACATGCAGTGTTATAGCCTTCAAGTTCCTGAGACTTTATAACTTTTATCCATTTTTTTAATGTCTTTTGGTGTTATGTACCACCAATAATACATTTTGTACCAATTCTCCCTTAGATTTTGACATGCTGTTAATTCTATGTTTTTTGTCCACGATCTTTCCCATTGTTGAAAAGTTATCTCTTTTCCCAGGTTCTTTATCTAGTTTGACATATTGATATTGACTGGTTCTATTTCTGTGTCAGACTGAAGTATTAATTTATAGATATGTCCTCATAGTTGCTCAGTTTTTTTGTATAATTATTCTCTCAAAATCCGTTAAAGTTCTTACTCTTCCCCTATTATCTTGTGTGTGAACTATCCAACAGCTTTGATGATGATGATGATGATGATGAAGATGATGATGATGATGATGATGATGGCCAGTGGAATTGCAGGCCAATGCGATCAACGCAGCTGAGGTATGAGAAAGGCAGTATTCAATGGGAACTAGGAAGAGAGGACATCTGGTTAGCATTAAAACATAGCTCAAAGGATAATTTTATATTCTTACATTCAAAATCTCTCTCGGATCAAACTGTGGCATGCTGTGTATAAAGGCGGTGCCACCCCAAAGCCATGGAGAGAAAAAGCTCCCGAGCGTTGCCTTGATCCAGCCTGTGTCCGACATGTTCCATATCACATCTGAGGGCTTCAAGTCCAGCCAGTACCTGCAAGACACAGAGGTTCAGAGTTGGGGGGCCTGGGTTAGTCCACGCAAGAAACACCGGATAAGATTTGGGAAGACCCAAAGCTCATTGCGGGAGCCATCCTATCCCAATTCCTTCACTTTAAATATGAGGTCGTAATCAGTGGTGTCATCATGGTGTCCCCTCCCAAGGTTGAAATGCCAGTGCTTATTTTGCAGCCAGGACCTTCTGAGTCACTCCATCTTGGCTTTGTATCACCAAACACAAAACAAAACAAAAGGGAAAAAAAGAGTAAGCTTTCATGGAATATTCCCACTTCGTCAGACATAAGCATCAGAATACAGGGATTAAAACATTCATGCAAGGGTCTAAGACAGTGGTTCCCAACCTTGGGTCCCCAGATGTTCTTGGTATGCAACTCTCAGAAGCCTCACCATGAGCAGTGGTCATCGTCATTTAGTCGTGTCCGACTCTTCGTGACCCCATGGACCAGAGCACGCCAGGTCCTCCTGTCTTCCACTGCCTCCCGGAGTTGGGTCAAATTCGTGTTGGTCGCTTCGATGACATTGTCCAGCCATCTCATCCTCGGTCGTCCCCTTCTCCTCTTGCCATCACACTTTCCCAACATCAGGGTCTTTTCCAGGGAGTCTTTTCTTCTCATTATATGGCCAAAGTACTGGAGCCTCAGCTTCAGGATCTGTCCTTCCAGTGAGCACTCAGGGATGATTTCCTTTAGAATTGATAGGTTTGTTCTCCTTGCAGTCCAGGGGATTCTCAAGAGTCTCCTCCAGCACCACAATTCAAAGGCATCAATTCTTTGGCGGTCTGCTTTCTTTATGGTCCAGCTCTCACTTCCTATACATCATGACAGGAAAAACCATAGCTTTGACTATTCGGACTTTTGTTGGCAAGGTGATGTCTCTGCTTTTTAAGATGCTGTCAAGATTTGTCATCGCTTTCCTCCCAAGAAGCAGGCGTCTTTTAATTTCGTGGCTGCTGTCTCCATCTGCAGTGATCATGGAGCCCAGGAAAATAAAATAAGAGCAGTGGTAGCAAGGTCTTTTGGGAATTGCAGTCCAAGAACATCTGGGAACCCAAAGTTGGGAACCACTGCTCAAAAATAAAGGGACAGTGGTATTCCGTTACATTTCACACCTAGTAATGATTTACAACCCATGTTCTTTCGAAGTCTGGTTCTGTAATCAGCAACAATCCTTAAAGGAAACAACAGAGGAACAATGCATGGCACTGTAGAGAATGACAGAATTTACCTCTGAGCCTTATTTTGAAAAGGTGGGCATGGTTAGTTGGGAAGGAAAATAACAGTAGGTAGCAGCATAATTATTATATTTGGTGATGACTTTAAAACGTTGGCTAATATTTAATATTGAGATGGGTGTCCAGTGTGTGTGTGTATTTTATCTCAGATGTTTCCCTTTAGATTCTTGTTCTGTAGTCCCTCTTCTCCAGAACAACAACTTCCATATCTTGTAAAGAGTGTCCTATGCACGCCTTCAAAAAACCCTCTTTTTTTGCTTTGTCAGATCACTCATTTCCTCTCCTCTGTTAGCTGCAGAAACCACCCTCCTTTTGCATCTCATAGTGAGTTTTCCCCCCCTCCCTTACTTGTGACCACTTTCCACTTGGGGTTGGGGAGGAATTTTGCCCTGCCTTGTGCTCCAGTCAAGGCAGAGTGAGCCAGCTTGCTTTCTCCTCACCTACTTGCCTGATTAGGATGGCTTGGTTGCAAGTAATTATAGCTGGTATCCTCCTGAGCTTCTACTGAATTGAATGTCTCACCAATACCCCAGTCTGTCAGCAAATGCACACAAAGTGTCAGATGAAGAGTTCCAGAGAAGAAACATCCCTGCAACCCACTCATCAGGCTGCTTGGAAAACCTGTTCCCTTCTCTCCCACTGAGCTCCCTCCCATGTGTGTTGTGTGTGTGTGTGTGCAGGTGCGTGTTTCAGTGTCCTATTGCTGAACCTAGGAGAAAGAGGAGAGGGCAGGATAGAAACACAGGGCACATTAGAAAAACTGTGTCATCTGTTGTTGCTTCTGCATTTCACAGGTTGTGTAAGAAGTAGGTTGTGGTGGTAGAACTGGTCTCTGGTTGGCAGTTTCTCCCTTTCCTCCCAATGGAGGCCAGCTCTCATCTTCATACCTGCAACTAAGTCATAATCTGGAGCATGTAAATATGTGTGTATGAACACTCAGGAAGGAAAGAGCATGTGTGCGCGCAGATGCATAAGACTCGTGGAGGAATCCTGCATGTCTGAATTTGCAAATATACTACTGGCTATAACCATGCATTAACATGTATTGTAGAAAATGATTAGTTTTGATAAGAAGTAATTATTGCATCTCTGGAAGAAGCATTCCCTTGACTCTGGAGATACATGATCTGCGGTAACCAGAGATTCTCCTGGGGGCATATTAGAGTGGCCAACAAATAATTGCTTCTGGAGATGAAGGATAAGATGGTACTTTCCCCACTGTTCCATCCAGAGAAGCTGACTGGAGTGGCAGCTGAACCTTTACATAAGATTGTGGTTAGGAGAGCCTCCTCCACCTTGCTTGAGGCCTGTGGGCCCCCTTGACTGGGGGTGAGCGGTGTGTGTGTGTGAGGCAGACTATGTGAAGCTCTCCATTTGGCCCTTCAGCCTCTGCAGCCTTCTTCATACCACACACTGAGTGCACAAATAGCACAGACACCCATGGAGATATGTAAATACTCAGTTCTTATTCAGTTTAGTGCTAACGATGTAAACAATGAACTGGGTACCAGCAGAACCAGTGCTACCCATAGGCACAGTGAGACAGGTGGCTTAAGCAGCAGATTTTGGGTTGTGTGAAAGAGTAGCAAGTAATTATAGCTGGTATCCTCCGGAGCTTCTACTGAATTGAATGTCTCACCAACCTAATAAGTGCAGGATTACACCATCTGCATAGGTCTTGCTATTCCTCAAGCCAAACACAGATCATAGAATCATAGAATAATTAAGTTGAAAGGGGCCTATAAGGCCATCATGTCTAACTCCCTGTTTAATGCAAGAATCCAAATCAAAGTACGTATATCTGACAGATGGTTGTCTAATTTTCTCTTGACTGCCGCTGGCACTGGAGCATTTACCTTGATCTTTATCATTACCTGCACTATCAGGTTAGGTCTGCTAATGCCTGAATTGCCCCTCCTCCAATAGTCCAACAAAATTGCCTACATCTTCCAGAGAAAATCAGAAGCCTGTGTTCATCACAGCTGGCATTTATGCCAGTAAAGGGTTAATTCCAAAATGAAACCAAACCATTTTAGACAAGCAAATTAATATTCATCTGAGTGTCAAAATGTAAGCTGTTGCAATAATTCCAGGCAACGTCACCTTGTCTAATTCTACAAGCTTTATTTATCTACATTGCTTCTATGCTCCACATGCTAAAATTACTTCAAAAGGTAACAAGACAGTCACACAGCTATGAGGAAAGCTGTGGGCACAAATACTTTAAAATCCTTCCTTGAAACTTTTAAAAGAATGCAAGTGTAAAAACATAAGTTATAGGCAGAACTTGGAGCACATCTTTTAAGAGTAAAAAAAGAATAGTAAAACATATTTCAATTAGATTCTAAAAGTGCAAGAGATTATAGCCTTATAAGGCACATCCAAAAACAAAAGACAGAGGAGCATCTCTTAAAATACTGAAATCATTAAAATTAAAAATCTATAAGAATAAAATACATTATTCAGCCTTTTAGCTTATCTGGACAAACACAGAAAAACAATAAATAATATTTTAACTCAGCCAAGCCAGTTAAAATCTTTTGAGAAAAATCAATGTTGACTACTGTTGCGAGCATCTGGAAACTAAATGTGTTCCTGCACTGCTACATAGTTGTTGTTATTTAATGTCTGGTACCCAAAAGTGGCATGTAGTTCTGATGATGTGATGAATGTGGAGAATATGTCTCCACATACTTATAACTCTTACCAATTGTTTTCATTTCCTTCTAACTATAAACATTCTTCATCTGCTTAACCAGGTTGTATGATAGTTGTTGTTATTGTTGTTTAGTCAAGTTGTGTCCAACTCTTTGTGGACCAGAGCATACCAGGCCCTCCTGTCTTCCACTGCCTCCTGGAGTAAGTAACTATAGTATGATAGTAAGAAACTGTTATATGTGCTACTAAAATCTCATAGACTTTGCATTGAATAAATTTTCTGGGCTTGGTACAAAACTTTGGTATTAACTATAGTACGATAGTAGGAAACTGTTATATGTGCTATTGTAATGCAAAATCTCATAGACTTTGCATTGGATCAGTTTTCTGGGCTTGGTACAAAACTTTGGTATACATGTATGTTCTGACAATTCTTACTACCTTAGGCGATTTCTACTTGACATTTCTGCTAGTCTAGCAATAATGTGGAATCCCAAAACCTATATTCCATGGATTTATATTTTCCAAAAGATGGCACTATGAGATTGTAAAACACCTCCTTTTCATTCCTTCATCTGTTATTTATGATAACCTCATCTTTAAGCTTACAAATCATAACCACAACCTCCACTGAGTTGCCAAGATTGTTTATAATTCATTGACCTTGTTCTGCTGACTAATTGGTTATAATTGTGAATAATTCATTGGCTTTGCTCTTCTGGCTAATTGTTGTGAAATGACTTATATGAACTATTTGTTGTAAGCCGCAAGTTTTAAAGGTACTTTCTCTTTAGGGGAAATTTCCCTGCACCCCCTATTTCTAAACACACAGTGTTTCAAACCTTGCAACCACAACATCAACTTGAAATCACAACATCAGTCACATCAACCGTGAAATCACAACATTCTGTGTTTCTGTGTTGATGAGGTTTTCTGCTCAGCAGATGCTCAACAGGATATTGGTCTGAATTACTTATTAGTGTACTTTACTTATTGGGAAGGTGGTTCCGGGCCTTTCTGCTTCAGGTGCCACAAAGAATGATGATAGCTTTACTGTAACGCTTCTGGAGAGTGCCAGATTAGGGAAGGCTGATGCTAAAGGCAGCTGCTTAAAAATTCATAGAATCATGAAGTTGGAAGGGCTCTATAAGGCCAATGAGTCCAACCCCCTGCTCGATGCAGGAATACAAACCAAAGGATATCTGCCAGGTGGTTGTCTAAGTTTCTGTTGAAAGCCTCCAGTGTTGGAGCTGGAGGTCATTGGTTCCATTGTTGTACTGCTCTAACAGTTAGGGAGTTTTACTCAATATTTAGCCGAAATCTCGCTTCCAGCAACTTGAGCCCATTGTTGCGTGTCCTGCACTCTGGGATGATTACAATCAGATCCTTGCCCTCCTCTGCATTCAGGGACAAGAGCAGAGATTTTTTTTGTCTCCGATCTGTTCCTATTATTTGCCTTTCTATCTTTTTTCACTTCAGTACCAGGGTTTTAGAAGCGCAAGAGAAACAAAGAGGCCTACCTTCCAGATAACATGCATCCAAGAGTCATACTACTATGGGAATGTTCTGCCATTTTTGGTAAGCCAGTAGTTCCACTGGTGAAATAGATCATCATGGGGTCGCTGCTTTTGGTTTCAACACAGCTATGACTGGAAGGGGATGCGCTGAAGGACAGACAAGAAAGTGGGAGAGACAGTTACAAGAATGAATAGCAAGTCTTCATGTTTGGGAGCCACAAAAAGGTAGAACCTGGAAATCATTAATTGCAAATATGAGTTACTGAAATCAATTCCTTTTTTGCACTACTCAAATCATATCTAAGGATGCAATCAGATGGCAGGAAAGAAAGACACACGCCCAGTTACACCGGAAAGGCCTGATTTACTGGTAGCAATCACTCTTAAAGGGGCCTTTCTGTTTGTTGGAATATTGCTCCAACCCAATCCTCAAAAATAGTAATCCTATAGCTGGACCAAGAAAGTCCAGCTTCGGCATGGAGTGGGGTCAGGTTGGAGTGCAGTTCCCCATATGTTGTGTGCTCATCAGGAAATAGATCACACTGAACCCATCCATAATGTGATCCCTATAAGATCACCCCTTAAGGTACAGTACTTTTGACTGCAATAGAATGAGAGATGGCTCCAATTTTTTATGGGTTACTGGAACTGTGAGTCCTTCCAGATGGGAGAGAAGTTCCGCTCTCCTTTCTCCCTCTTTGTCCTGCTTGGTATAGAACAACAGTCACATCTAAACTATTTATAGGTGCTTGTTCACAAGCAGCCCGTCTGATGGCCTCAAAGACCCATAAAAACAAGAACAATGTCTGAAATGTTAGGAATCTGAATAGTAAGAATAGTTTTAAAGTACTATAAAAGGCAGCAGCGTTAGTACAGTGGACCCTCTACTTACAGAATTAATCCATATTGGAACGGTGGCTGCAAGTCGAAAAGTCTGTAGGTCGAATCTCCATTGACCTACAATGCATTAAAAACCAATTAATCCCATAACTGGCAGTTTTTATTCTATTTTTGTTCCATTTTGGTTTTTTTCTGGTCTGTAAGTCGATTCTCCAGCTGCAGGTCGAATCTAAATTTTGCGGCCAGAGAAGTCCGTAACTCGAAAAGTCTGTAAGTCGAGCCGTCTGTAAGTCGACGGTCCACTGTAGGGGGTTCAATTTTTTCAACCACTCCATACGCTGGCCACAGTGCCCTACTTGCTGGCACAGGGGACCAGAAGGGCATAGACCCAAAAGACTGAGCTATCCTGCTTTTGGTTGAAGGTAGAGGAGCAAGGGCTGGCCAGCCAATATAAAAATACGGTATGCTAAATACGTAAAAACAGCATTCCCTGACATAGCACTAAACTCTGGTACTCCTGGAACAGACCTGAACGAAATAAACCATGCCTTCAAAACTGGAAGCCGGTGACTCCATTTTCCTGAGGGCAACAACTATGCTCCAAGTTTTAATCCAGATCTGACAACAGCTATCTAAGAGCTGTTGAACTCCATCCACAAAATTGGTTCAGCACCATGGAGAGCAACTCAAAATGTGGGACTATTCTCTGGTGCAGATTCACCACCCTTTTGAAACCGGAACCCGAAATGCTTCAGGAGAAGACAGAAGAACACACAAAATTATAGTATTTGTCCCAGTTCATCAGAGCTCTAATTGAGGCCACCCTTGTGTCATCTGGAAAGTAGGAAAAATATTGATAACTTCAGTGAACAATCAGGTAAATTTTCAAGCACATGTAGCCCAACTGAAGGACGTACATGCTTTCATTACTTTTATAGTGGTTCAGAGTTTGTAGCCTCACTAGAAGCTGGGGGCATGTGATAGTCTGATGTTTTTCCCCTCAATGTAATTAAGAGTAACAATTACTGTTGACTAATGAGGAAAAATTACTTGAGAATGGCAGCTACAGTGATGACTACTTGTGGTGGTGGTGCCTTGTAACTGCAAGAAAATAATTTACAAGAGGTAATTTTCCAAGTTCTACTTTAGGAATGCTTTCTTTTCTCAGCATTTCACTGAGAGATTTGCCAGTATGTGCAACTCACACATGTTCTTCCTGTACAATCAATTATGGGTGTTCCACATGCTGTTTGGCTTGAACGTCCATCATTTCTGGCTAGAATGACGATGGGAGTTGTAGTCCAATATTGAGAACTCACAGATGCATTACTCATTTGTCAACAAAATCATCAACACTCACTCAAATAGCTCCTTGAAGTTGAGCCAATTGTCCCTCCTGCCTTCAGAGATGAGCAGCTTTGTTTCCAGAAAGGGGCAGTACAATGAAACAGAATCGACCGCAGCAGCCAAAGCATCATTTGTAATGATGCACTTTGCTTTTGAAGCCTGGAGCCTGTACAGGATGTCTTTGGCTGTCAGCTGGAGCGTCCCTGGCACGAAAACAATCCCTGGAGGGCCAATGGATATGTAACATTGTCATTACAAGTCAAGAGAGAAGCTAAAGAGAATACATGTCACTGTCCTTCCTGAAACACTGTTCTTCAAAGACATGTGCCTCAGTTAATCAGACTTGCAAATGAAGACTGTGTTTGCCTTCCAGTGACCAATCACAAAACAGTGCATGCTAACTGCAAGGTGAGGAAAATCACATGCTGTGACAAACAGATGTCTTTTACTACTTGAGAGAGCACTTACTTTAAAATGTGCTAAATGGACCATCTAGCTTGATTGTATGATTTTTTAATTTATTTATTTATTGGACTTATATACCGCCCCATAGCGCTACAAGCACTCTCCAGGCGGTTATCTAGCTTGATTGTATGATTTTTTTTAATGCTTTGGAGATTATCAAAGAGACTGAATGTTATGGGATACAGCCACATGCACAGATGTGAGTTCAAATGCCCATTCAGCCAGTCATTGTCCCTCACCCTAACAGAGCTCATGGGGTTTGTTGTGAGGATAAAGATGGAGAGGTGGATCTCCTGCTTTGGAGATTGTCAAAGAGACTGAATGTTATGGGATACAGCCACATGCACAGATGTGAGTTCAAATGCCCATTCAGCCAGTCATTGTCCCTCACCCTAACAGAGCTCATGGGGTTTGTTGTGAGGATGAAGATGGAGAGGAGGATCTTGTACATCTCCCTGAGCTTTAAGGAGAAAAGGCGGGATCTAAGAGTTCCAGACAAATAATAAAGAATGCTACAAGAATGCAGGAAAAAAACTGGGTGGATCAGATCAAATGTCCAGCTTGTCCAGCACCCTCCTTGGAATCTAGAAAAGTTCCAACACTTTTTGGACTACAATTCCCAGACGTCTTCAGTCAGCACCATGCTGGCTGGAGATTTGGGGAACTGCCATTCAAAAAAGAGAGGATTTTTCCCCCATACTGTATTTGAATACTATGCTCCCTTCACAACGATGCCTTCACAGACCTGCATTCAAAGGAAAGCAAGCGGGGATCAGTGGTAAGCCTAAGCAATTTACCACCAATCTATAATATCAGCCAAATTAGGCACTCAGTATACACCAGGGTCTTGAGGACAAGCCCCCACCCTAAACTCCCTGCCAAGGGTCTACCTTTAGGCACTACTGTAAGTATACACCAGTGTCTTGAGGACAAGCCCTCACCCTAAACTCCCTGCCAAGGGTCTACCTTTTATATATTTGTGGGTCTACCTTTATATATTCCAGAAAACATGTTTTTGTCCAAACATCACAGATGTACCAAGAGTCATACAAAACTATCTTTGAACCTGTTGGGAGTGATTGAGCACACTTCAGAAGAGGCACTGTAAGTATACACCAGTGTCTTGAGGACAAGCCCTCACCCTAAACTCCCTGCCAAGGGTCTACCTTTTATATATTTGTGGGTCTACCTTTATATATTCCAGAAAACATGTTTTTGTCCAAACATCACAGATGTACCAAGAGTCATACAAAACTATCTTTGAACCTGTTGGGAGTGATTGAGCACACTTCAGAAGAGGCCTCTCTTTGCATGGGGAAAAGGAGAGAGAAAGATGACCTCCTTAGGTTTCCTCGGCTGTCCCTTACCTGTGCCAACCTGTGCGGACCTACCTCCAACCTTAGAGTGCTATTCTTAGGGTTGCTGGTGTCCCTTCCTTTCTCCTCACACCTTGCTCTTGTCACTTTCATTCGCGAGAAATGGCTCCCGGCAGCTCCAACCTAGCTGGCTAGAGCTAGGACGTCTGTTACTTTTCCTATCCAAAATGCATTTCTTTCATAAATGCTAGATTTCTTAGAAAAGAGTGTGGATGTGATTCCTTTACAAAAGAGAAAGGGTGCTGAACTCTTCATCCCAAGTCTCAAAGAGCTGAAATCCCCACGTTAATGTTGCTCCAGTATCTTTGGGTGTATCTACTCTCCAACTCTCTTCTCATGAGAAGAGTCCCTGGAAAAGACCCTGATGTTGGGAAAGAGTGAAGGCAAGAGAAGAAGGGGATGACAGAGGACCAGATGGATGGACAGGGTCATCGAAGCAACCAACATGAATTTGACCCAACTCCGGGAGGCAGTGGAGGACAAGAGGGCCTGGCGTGCTCTGGTCCACGGGGTCACGAAGAGTTGGAGATGACTTAATGACTAAACAACAAAGAGACTTAATAAAAGGAATTTCCCAACTGTGGACTGTGTTGTTATGCTCTTTAAAAACATATTCTCAGTCTGTCAACATCTGGAGGGCCACAGGGCTGATCTAGGTCTAAGGTTGAGATTTGACTATATGTACTGAGATCTAACAGAGGACGAGATGGTTGGACATGGTCACTGAAGCGACCAAAATGAATTTGACCCAACTCCGGGAGGCAGTGGAAGACAGGAGGGTCTGGCATGCTCTGGTCCATGGGGTCACGAAGAGTCAGACACGACTTAACGACTAAACAACAACAATACTCCAACATGATGTGAAAACAGAGATGTGACTGAAAGACAAGAAGTGTTCACGGCAGTTTCCCATACTTTCAATCCTGTTCATGTAAGTGCATAGTGCAATACCTGGATCCAAATCATTTTAATGCTACCAGATAAATAAATTATATACAGAGATCATATTAGGTATTCTTACCTGTCCTAATGCTGGCCACACTGAGTAGCCACCATTCAGGTATTCGAGGCAGTATTAGGATCACTCGGTCTCCTCTTTTCAGATTGCATGGGCCTGAAAGGACATTGGCTGCTTTCTTGGAGAGAAATCCCAGTTCCTCAAAACCCCATCTCATTTCTTTCCCTTTACCGTCTGTCCACCAGAAGGCAGGATGAGCGGGTCTATTTCCATTCTGGAAAACAAGGCAAGAGGTCCCTGCAGACGGTTCACTCCAGCTTGCAACAGAGAGATGAACTGGAGAAGTCACATTCAAGAGATAAAAGTATTCTCAGCTTGGAGAAGCCCATGTTGTCATACTGATGCATATGAATTGGCCGTTTCATAGAACCATAGCACAGTGGAGCTGATAGGGACCTAAAAGGCCATTCAGTCCATTCATCTGCTCAAGGCAGGACTTGAAGTTAAAGCATTAAAGCAATGAACATAGTGTATTAATGTACAGTGGTGCCTCGCTAGATGATGATAATCCGTTCCACTGAAATTGCTGATTAGCAAAATCATCGTCTAGCGTAAAGCATTTCCCCATTGGAATGCATTGAAACCTGTTTAATGTGTTCCAATGGGGAAGAATCGTCGTCTAGCAGAGATCGGCCATAGGAAAGCCGCTTTCTGAACCGCCACTCAGCTGTTTAAATTGCTGTCTTGCGAAGCTTAGGTCCTGAAAACACTCGTTTTGCGAGCACGGAGGGAGCTGTCAAAATCGTTGTCTAGTGAAAATTGGTCTGTGAAGCAGGGACCAAACATTGTCCAGCAAAATTCCCCCATAGGAATCACTGTTTTGCGAATCGCTATAGCGATTGCAAAAAGTAAATGTCTAGTGAAAAAACGGTAATGCGGGGCAACTGTCTAGCGAGGCACCACTGTATAGTCAACGTCTTATGAAAACCTGCAAACCTGATCATGGAAAAGCAAAATCTGCCCCCATAAACATGTTCTTTGTATTTTCTCTCCTGTAAGCAAATATAGCCATTAACGGTGCCATGTCACTTTCTGTTCCAGGCCAAGGACATGCCTGATCCTGGGAGCAGAAATAGGAAAGGTTCATCATCATCTGGGCTGATACTCAAACGTCTGAGAAACATATCATTCTAAGTTACATCCTGAGCTATGCCTCGTTGGAGGACTCATGTCTTTATACTTTTGTTGTTGGTCTTTGTTTCTCTATAAAAGGCCTACCTACAAGTTATCATTTTGAATTCCTTGCCTGTGGGCATGTTTTCCCCCCACTAGTGGAATAAACAGCCTTTCCTATACCTCCTTCCTCCAAGGTTATTTTTCTAAGGTAAAAAATCTTGACAACAGAATATAGCAAAAGGAAACAGGAAATCACTCTCCTGTGTCTGGAACCTCCATTGGATTGAGCTGGGTGGGGGTCCCTTTGGGAAATGGTGCCCTATGGATGACTGGTCCCTCTATGGCAGATGGGGATGCCAAAAGCCTGAGCACCCACCCATCCTTCCCTTCCTCCTTCTCCTCCTCCTCTTAGCACTGCAGAGAGGGAAGGGACCCTAAGGATCATCTAGTCCAGCCCCTGGGGGGGAATCACCCAGAAGGGTTTTTATAACCTAGATTCCCTGAGTTGTAACTGGGGGGGAGGGGGCGGAGAATTGAAGATAAAGCCAACCATCCTCTCTGGGAGGAGAAGCAGTTACATTGTTAGTGACACAAATGTCTTCTCCGCACGTAGGCAGAGGATGTGATGTGTAGTTTCTTTCTTTGCCCCGGGCTCCCACTCAGGGGGTGACGTGGCATGCATGGAATCGTGTATAAATGTGCTTCATTTAGACAGACGTTTTCCAATCCAACGCAAGATGTTAAAGATGAAGAGCCTCTTGGGGAGTGAAAAAAATTAAGGGGCAAATCAAACTCAGCACTAACATCATCCAACTCAGGGACTCAAACATTGAAGAGTTGACCACTTAAAAGCCATGGACCTGGATTCACAGATCTGCCAGTTTTGATTCCTGATATCTTCATTTTTTAAAAAACATCTGAAGTTCTCTCCTTCCCTAATATAAAGAAATCCATGAATTTTAAGAATTTTTTTTTACCACAAATCAAAAACAAAATGTGTTGAAACAGAGCTGAGTTTTGGGAACAAAAACTCCCATTGTCAACCAGCCTGCATAGAGGATTCTGGGAGTTATAGTCCATAAATATACAATTCCAAAGCTTTGAGCGGAATGAATGAAAAATTACCTTTTCCAGTTTGGACCATTTATCCAACACGTCGCTCGCAAAATTGAAGTACTCCGGGAGCTCCTTTTCATACCGGTTAATGGCTTCATATTTCGAAAGATCCAGAGAAACGAATGAGTTGCCGTCTGTTTGGCATGACCTGGAAAGTGGCTTGGCGGTCAAGACAGGGGTCACCCCTGTGAGTCGGAGCAATGTCTTCATGGCGCAAGTAGTTGTGCTTGAGATCACAATCCTTAGCGTCCGGACTACGAGAAAGGATGAGCATGAAATGCAATCCTACGCAGCAGTTGTAATAAAATTATTCTTATTGCACTAGGAAAGAGCGATCATTCTGCAGTTGAGCATTCACTAGCCATATAAAAGGCCCCGTTTTCAGTCATATGATGAACACATTTTGCATTGCCAGAATAAGAGGTCATGGATTTGTATAACATTTGCATATATTGATTTATATACATAAGTGATGGGGAAGTACTGTATAATTCTAGGAGGAAATACAATATATTTTCCTACCATAGGACTGTGACCCATTTTTTTAAAATACAGAGCAGGTGCTGCCCAAGACGGAGTTGGACCGTAGTGGACGCACAGGGTTAAAACCCCTCTCCCCTACCAGGGTCCTTCCCTAAATCAACCTTGATCAGCTCTTTCAGTTTTATTTACTAAAAACAAAACCATTTAGTTGTTAATTGTGCAAATAATTTAAATAGCTCTTGGAGACGTCATTGACTTGTAGCCTCTGTACTTTATAAGGCTGCTTCAAAGACAGATAAATTCTGCATATTCTGGAGAAGACAATCTCAACCTTTTTTTTATTGGCCACCGCCCCCTGCCAAACAAGGATACAACATGAACAGAAGAATAGAAAATCATCTCACATTTTTCAGTCTGGGGTCCCTTTCAAATGTGCCACACACACACACACACACACACACGCAGGGCCCCTGTTGAGAACAGCTGGTCTAGAGCTTGGAGGAAAAGTGGTAGAAATGGTACATAAAAGTGAAGGAAGTGGTTTTTACCTGGTGGCAATCAACTGAAAGGAAATTTAGTGGCATTCCTCGGAAGAAATCGGTCATGAGAAATGGAAATCTTATCTTTTTAGATCCTTTTGTTTTTCAATCTGGCTTCTCAAAGGAGCGAAAGGTCCTTGTTTGTCCTGTATTTGCTTCCACAGGAAAAGATTATTCCTCTCTGAGAATGAAGTTTCTTGTTTCTTTAAATACTCTGAGAAAGAGAGAAAAAAGTGGTTGTAGGGAGAACCCAGTTATTCTTGATTCCTCTTTACAGATCAGTAACTCCATGCAGGAGAGAGATGGAGAGGTTTTTTGATGCAGGAGGTTCAAATGTTGACCTAGATGTTGTAAGATCCCCTGAGCCGTGAAACTCATCAGGCGACTTTTGACCACTTGTGTGAACAATTTAAGTCCTCTTAAGCCTTTTGGGTGAAAGGTGGGCTGTAAGCAGAACTTAAAGAAACAAAATGTCAGGGAGGTTAGGAATAATGGGCCTTTCAAAATTCTCCACCCTCGATGTGGGCAGAGAAATGGAGGTCGCCCTAGACAACAAGGATTATAAAATTGTCAGGGGGTGATGGGAGTCTGGGCGATCACTTAGTAGGGCCTAAGAGATGGTAAGGGCCTCCTGTAAGATCAACACTCAAAATTCTGGACAGCCTCTTTCAGGGTTTTCATGTATAGTCGTGCCCTGCTGGACAATTACCCCGCTGTATAACAAAGCCGCATTATGTCGCCATTTTTGCAATCACTTTTGAGATCACAAAATGATGTTTTAAATGGGGTTTTTGCAATCACTTTTGAGATGGCACATTGATGTTTTAAATGGGTGATTTTGGGAACCGATTTTTTTGCTTTACGACGATCAGCAAACAGCTGATCGTCGGGTTTCAAAATGGCATCCGGCTTTCAAAATGGCCCCCTGCTGTTTTCTAGGACGGAATCCTCGCTATACAGGCACTGAAAATGGCAGCTGTATGGAGGATGTTCGCTGGACAGTGAGTTTTTCAGCCCATTGGAACACACTGAACGGGTTTCAATGCGTTTCAATGGGATTTTTTCATTTCGTTTGATGATGTATTCGCTCTACAGCGATTTCGCTGGAATGAATTAACATCGTCAAGCGAGGCACCACTGTATGTGAAATAGTATGGGAAACCATGGAGCCCTGAGACACTCCACAGGCTAATAATGGTGAAGGTGTTCAACAGAAGTCTCCCGACATCACTACCATTCACAAAGTGACACCACACAAGAGAAAAATCCCAGAAGCTGACTCCTTTTTTCATCAGTTAAAGATTTCTCCCCCAAACACTAAACCAATGGCCAGGACTGTTTTTCACCAAGTGTGAATGGTCATGAGCAGTAGACCATCTAGACGACTGCCATGGGTGTTCTCAACCTTCAGGCTCATCTTTGCTACCTAAAGCTTGGCATCCTTTTTCCTGCTGGCAATGTGGGCATGATACTGTGCAGTGATACTGGGCCATTTCCTGACATTCTGAATTGTAGGTACAGAAGCACAGTATCTCACATGAATAAACCGGAGGGTTTTCTTTTTTTAAGAACTGAATTACCTGGCTTTTAAATATACCGTATTTTTCCATGTATAAGACTATACTTTTGCCTAAAATCTTTAGACTAAAAATTAAGGGTCGTCTTATACACAGAAGTAAGCTGAGGAGAGAACAAAAACAAGTGGAGGGGAAAGCAGGGATCAGACCGATTTTGCAGTGCTTTTCTCCCTTTTTCCCTACACTTGCTAACCCCCAGTTAGATTTCTTAATTTTGGATTAGAAAAGTGGGGGGGCGTCTTATATATGGGGGCATCTTATACACGGAAAAATATGGTACAAATTCAGTCAGAAATTTCCCTCATATAGAATTTCCCAGTGGTACAGGATTCTAGAAGATGAGCATATGATCTATACTATGATTCCTGGAGAAGACAGAAGTGAGGGTGCCCACAAATTCAATCAGAAATTTCTCTCATATAGAATTTCCCAGTGGTACAGCCATGTTGCACTCTCATGTCCGTTTCTTTGTGTTAGGCAAGGCTATAATCCCTGTAGGCCAAGATATTTTGAAAGGCTGTTTTGGACTTAATGAAATGGTGAAGCAAAGGTGTGAGTGGGTACAATGCAAACCATGGAGAAACATAATGATTTAATCTCTCCTTTAGATGAAGGTTGCCACACCCACTCCGACTGGAAAGCCATGTTGCACTCTCATGTCCGTTTCTTTGTGTTAGGCAAGCTGAGGAAGAAAAGCTCTATTGGACCAAAACCTCTATGGATATGTGGTGTGCATGTTTTCGAAAAGATTCCCCTTTGCTTTTTGAAATTAAAAAAGAGGGAAGAGGTTGGAGTGAGCAAAGAATGGAAACCAAGGTCAAAATCATCCATACTATGTGAAAGGAAGACAGGGAAGAAAGACGGGCCAAGTCTGTCCTTGCAGACAATATTAGATGGTTTTGCAGCTTACACCCTTGCAAAATCATCTAATATTAGTTCCCTTTGGGACCACATCTCTTGTAGTAATAAAAGGCTAGAATGTCAAAATTAGAGACATACTCTATAAAGGTAGTATCCCCAACCTTGGCTTGCCACCCTGCAATATTCCAAGACAATATTTTTACAATAGACTTCTTGTGATGAATTATTCCAAGTTCATGGGTTAAGTGCTTTGGAGTCTCTCTTATCTATACCACACATTGGGGTTGACTCCTGACCGAGCGCTACATTGTGCACTACCTGATTGTATAATCCCGCTTCGTCTGTAGCACCAATATCCAACTGATGTAAGCCCCCCCGAGTAGACGTTGTCTAGAGGGGCGGGGTAAAAATCGAATAAATAAATAAATAAATAAATAAAGTACCTGTGGGGAGCTATCAAAAGGTAAAGGTAAAGGTTCCCCTTGACAATTTTTGTCCAGTCGTGTTCGCCTCTAGGGGGCGGTGCTCATCCCCGTTTCCAAGCCATAGAGCCAGCGTTTTTGTCCGAAGACAATCTTCCGTGGTCACGTGGCCAGTGCGACTTAGACACGGAACGCTGTTACCTTCCCACCGAGGTGGTCCCTATTTATCTACTTGCATTTGCATGCTTTCAAACTGCTAGGTTGGCGGGAGCTGGGACAAGCGACGGGCGCTCACTCCGTCGCGTGGATTCGATCTTACGACTGCTTGGTCTTCTGACCCTGCAGCACAGGCTTCTGCGGTTTAGCCCACAGCGCCACCACGTCCCACTTATCAACCCTGTGTCAAATCATTTTGTTTTCAACATAATTGCCACCACTAAATTGGTACTTCCAGGCCTTGTTGAAATTTGGGACTGCTTCAAAGTTTTCTTGATCTATGCTCCTCTGATTGGCAGTGGCTCTCCTCCTCATCTCATTGTTTCCTCTAAATCTTCTCCTTCTATTTCTTGTATACCTGCCTCTGTTCCCTATGAGGACAGGAATAGGGATGCCCACAATGGAGTCAGAATTCGGAGGCCATAGGCTAACAGGTTGTTCTTCAGAGCGCTTAGTGTGAGGGCTCTGAGTACGCCAGCCAGAAGGGACAGGGTCATTTGGATGTAAATTATTGATGTCAATCTTCTTCTTTGGGCTGGTTGTGGTAGAGTCTAATAATTTGAATAGAGGATTGAATTTCAGGCCCTTGGCTTTCTTGCCCGTATGTTTATGATCTGCTTTGAACTTTACTGTCTTGCTCTTGGTTTTCCTTTCCTCTGTTATTTCGGGGGTGGTGGGTGGTAAAGTCTCCCTGGGGAGGTTAGGACAATAAAATACTTAGCTTCCTGCCTGAAGGAAGATTAAAAGGGCCATCCTGAAAGAAAGGAATTTCAAAGGACCATCCTGAAAATACCAAGGGGACATCTGGTAGCAAAAGAATACCAACATAAACCAACTTTTATGACTCTTTGTGTGCATCTTCTATATATCTCCTCTGTATTCTGTGTTGCCTTGGAATTTTCCTGACATGTATTTTGTTACGGTATATGTATATTTGATGACACCACTCTGACAACAGAAAGTTAGGAGGAATTAAAGAACCTCTTAATGGTTCTTTGAAAGAGGAGAGCTCAAAAATGGTCTGAAGCTCAACATAAAAAAAAACTAAGATCATGGCCACTGGTCCCATCACCTCCTGGCAAATAGAAGGGAAAGAAATGGAGGCAGGGACAGATTTTACTTTCTTGGGCTCTATGATCACTGAAGATGGTGACAGCTGCCACGGAATTAAAAGCCCCCTGCTTCTTGGGAGGAAAGCGATGACAAACCTTAACAGCATCTTAAAAAGCAGAGTCATCACTTTGACGACAAAAGTTCGCATAGTCAAAGCTATGGTTTTTCCTGTAGCGATGTATGGAAGTGAGAGCTGGACCATAAAGAAAGCTGACCGCTGAAGAATTGATGCTTTTGAATTGTGGTGCTGGAGGAGGCTCTTGAGAGACCCCTGGATTGCAAGGTGAACAAACCTATCCATTCTGAAGGAAATCAACCGTGAGTGCTCACTGGAAGGACAGATCCTGAAGCTGAGGCTCCAATACTTTGGCCATCTCATGAGAAGAGAAGACTCCCTGGAAAAGCCCCTGATGTTGGGAAAGAGTGAAGGCAAGAGGAGAAGGGGACGACAGAGGATGAGATGGTTGGACAGAGTCATTGAAGCTACCAACATGAATTTGACAGAACTCCGGGAGGCAGTGGAAGACAGGAGGGCCTGGCGTGCTGTGGTCCATGGGGTCCTGGAGAGTTGGACATGACATAACGACTAAACAACAATGTATATTTGAAAATATCTCAGCTAGCCAGCCCAATAAACATTTTCCTGATAAGAAACCTCACAATACGCCCTCTTTGGCATTTTTTAAGAAGAAAAGTCTTCCACAACTTTTGTAGAAAAGTCCAAGGCCAATGTCTACAAATGTCTGAGAGTGAGTTATTGAGACCTTAAGTGCCAGTTGATGAGAAAGAGGTGCACCTGGGGAAACTGAAGCCATTATCCTGCATGAATCTCTGTACATCTGCTGTGCAGCAAAAGGAGTTTTACTAGCATCTGGGGAAACTGAAGCCATTATCCTGTACGTCTGCTGTGCAGCAAAAGGAGTTTTACTAGAGATTCAAAACCCGGCAACAATGATTTCTTTGGATTCCCCTGCCCAGTTTTCTCTCCCCCCCCCAAGATTCTTGATACTTCTGCAAAATTTGGTGTTCCTCTGAGGATGTAGTTCTTCTTTTTTGTGTGCAGGCTTTGTAGCGGTGGCTAGAAAAAGGCTGGCAACTGAAGCACTGAGATCATGATTAATATTTTTTGACGATGATATGTATTTGTTAATATCTTATAGTGAGATTCATAACCAAATTAATTAATATTCTATAGCCAAGACAAGACAATAGCACTTTATAGAACAATGAGACCCAACACCCACAGAGACAAACAGTTCCTCGTTATCCCTCATTCTGTATAAACTGTTTTTTCAGATTCAACTGGTTGCTGTTTGCAAGCTGCCAAGTCTCACTGGGCTTTCTCCCACTCCTTCTTCCTCAGCAGATGTCTTTGGACTTTCCCAGAAATTGTCTTGGGTAGATCCTGAACAAACTCTATCTGTGGGAAGAAAAGTGAACACATATTTAATTATGTTTGCACTCATTAATAGTGGGAAAAAATGTTAATAGGGATTGGGGGACTCTTAAGGGAAATAGCTGGATAGCTCAGTGTTTTAGTCATCAGAGGTTGTGGAGCCAGAGGTTGGGAGTTCGATTCCCGCCACGGTGCCTCCTGGACAGGGGCTGGACTGGATGATCCAGAGGGCCCTTTCCAGCACTGCCATTCGAAGAATAAAACTATAAGGAGAGTTTTTTTTCCAACTGGAAATCTCCTGTGCCTTGAATTAACTGCACGGCAGGCAGAATGTTTGAAAATCCTGTCATCAATATTGCTTCAGCTCCGTAGGGTTAAAAATGTATGAAGGTTGCTATGAAACATCTGGAGGAACAGCTGTGTTAACAGTGCAAATCCATACTCAAATTTGGTTGGGGGATAATGATTTGAAATGGACAAAAATGCCTCTCCTGCTGGCTGAACTTCCTTGGGGTGATTGGTCTCTGATCCGTTGGGTTATGCTGCAACGAAGCCCATGTCAACCCAGACCCATAGATAGTCACTAGGCTGGCAAAACAGTTAGACCAGAGTTGGGGGAGTCCCGGGCAATTTCCACAACTCTAAGGAAGAAGCAGTTCAGCAATTTCATGCCATCCCAGCCAGTCCTTAGCCCATCTCAGCTCGTGAGGATTGTGCCCTTACTCTGTTGCAGCAAAACTAACAAGTAGAATTGTGGCATTGAAACCAAGGTGGCATAAGAATTTTAAAGAGGTATGGAATTTGTATCTGAAACATGTCTTTGTGAAAGGTAAAGGTCATAGCCTCCTAGAGTAGTCTGGTAGTCCAGATAGGTGGGGTATCA